TTAAAATGGCATGTTTATTTTCTTTTCTTTGCCAACGCTAACAACCAATGAAACGACTAGTTGAATTCATGGGATCAGAAGTCACAGACATTTATTTATAATTCCCCCCCCCCGCCCGCCCCGGAGGTTGGGGTGGGATGGGGTGGAGGGCTCAGCAGAACGGTTTCAAAGTCACTCGTTTAATTGCTTCCGTTTTGCGGGTCAATTATTTTGGGCCCGGCTTAAACCGAGGCCGGATTTGCCTCGGTCCGACTTCGGTTTCACCGATCTGGGTCTAGAACCCCTTTTGAAAACATTGGCGAAGTTGGGAGGAGAGATTCGGATTTTGAAGAGCTGCAAATCTGGAAACCCAAAGGGTGGGTGGGAATGAGAAAAAAAAAAAAAGACAAAACGAAACCCTAAACCCCGGGGCGAAAATGTACAACGAAATGAAAACGCTCCTTTTGTTCAGACATCTGTGTCTTCCACATCTGGAGTCTAACAAGAAAGGCTGCCTTTTAAATAGAAGAAACAACATGGACTGCCGGATGAAATTAAAATTTTCTCGCTTTTTTTCCCCCCCTCGCTGTGAGCGGCTCTCTGAGCTCAGTTAAACCCACATTCCCAAATGCCAACGTTACACTCATTGATCATCCCAAGCGAAATTTGAAATGTATTTGCACCTTCCTGGCTGTGACGGAAAGAGAGAAGATCGGAGGGAAGCTAACGGGAGAGTGGTTTAGGAAGGAAAATTTTAAAAAACAAAAATAAAAAACAAGAATGTACAGTTCTAATGAACCACCGTTTAATTCACGGCGTGGACTAGGAACGCTAGAAAATATGATTCTCTTGTGTTTCTCTACGAAGGTTCTATTTTGTGGGATGCAAGACGATTTGGTCCATCTTTATTTTGTTTGATTTTATTTCCAAAAGAAGAATTTTTGCAGATTATCGTGGCTGAAATGCTCGAGGTTTGAATCCTCCTTCAGTGGAGGGAGAATGCTCAGGCAGGGAACAAAAAAAAATTAGAATAACCACTAGCAGTGCCTAACATCTCTGGAGGAAATTCCCAAGAAATTCCTAAGTGGGGGAGGAAAAAAATAAATCTTTATTTTTTTGGGGGGGGGGGGGCGGATGGGTGGGATTGGAAATTTGAAAACTTCCAAGGCAAAATTTGGCACAGCGAAACTCGTGGCTCTCTCGCCGGCTGAGCCGAGCTTGCCTTCTCTTGATTTGAGATGGATGGGAAGAGGATTAATTTAGGTAGTTGAATCCCACCCCACCCCCTTAAAAATAAGTTTTCTACCCAGCCCAACGTCCTGGGCCTGTCGATTCAGAAGACACCAGGTTGAGGAAGCAGTGAAAAGAGTTTGCCTCTTGAAGCCCAGGTAGAAAAGTTGACGGGCTGCGAGAGAAGAACCGTCTGTTAGAAGGAGTTGTCCATCAGACACAGGAAATGTGGAATCCGCGGGAAATCCCCGGAGGAAAAGTGGGGTACGATGGATGCACGTGGACCTCAGGCGAGGAGAACGACAGAGAGTCAACACGGTCCTTATCGCGAGAACGTCTTGGGTAGAAGGTCACCATCTTGGTCGCAGTCCTGGACAGGTGGGCCTGGGGGGCGCCTTTGTGGGGAGAAGGGTCGGGGTCTGGGGGCAAGTGCATCTTTGATGGCTCAGCAACATGGGCGATAACACGGAGAGGGGTCAGGACGGGGTTGGTGGGTCCACCACCCTGGTGTGTCCCTCACCGGAAGCCAACGTTCTCCCGCGATGGAGAGGTGGGCAAGGTGGGCGGGCTTGACCGATGGGGAAGGGAGCTGTCCGTGGTGGGTTTCTCCTGCCCCGAGGGGGGGGGTGTCCTTCTGCCAATCTTCCGCTCGCCGGGAGAGCTGAGGAGGCCAACGGGCGGGCACCTCGGCCTCCCACGCTTGGGATCCTGGCGGGGCCGCCTCCCTGGGCATCTCAGAGGTGGCCGACGGCATTGAAGGTTCCTGGCTCGGAAGCGGCTCCAGCCATGTTCAACCAGGCGTCCAGGGGGTTCTGGGAGGAAGGATGGAAGGGGTTGTTCTTGGTAAGAGTCAACATCATTGCGTAAGCCTATGAAGCACAGAAGAAAACAGCACGTGAAAGACGCGGCAAAAACGGGAGAATTGGACTTCAGAATCTGCGGGATTCCCGAGATCTGGGACGATCTGGAGACGGACTGGGAGGGGGCTTCCAGCTGTTGGGGGGCGGGGTTCAGCTCCCATCACCCAAAGACAGGGAAATGTGGCACCGCAGGGTGCTCACTGTCCTTGAACTCTTGTTGAAGTTGGAGAATTTGCACGTCGCTGGGTTTGTGGCCCCGAGACGGTTAGGGGCAGCTTCCTGCCCTAGTTAAAACAGAAGGTGAACACCAAGGAATCTGGCATGCAATTTCTCTTTGCTTGCAAAGATTTGGAACTGGTTGCTACAGAAACGGGAACAGATCGGGCGGTTTTAGTTGGTTTTGTTTTACTGTACAGGACGGTGTTACATTTTAATTTAATTTTAATTTGAGCTGATTATCTACGGAAAGGTAAAGGCCCCCTTCAGCACTCAGAATCTCCCCAAATAAATGATTGATTCTAGATTTAGGAATGGACCGATGGGAGATTTCTTCGCAGGAGAAGTGAACGGGTTCCGTTTCCCCCCCCAAACAAACCTCCCGCCAAAATCCCGAGACACACGAGACAACATTTAGGACAAAGGCCACGGGGTCTCCCTTTGCAGTTTTTATGTCCTTAAAAAGAAAATCAATTATTGGAGTGGAAATCCCCATCCTCTTCTCAAAGGCCAGCTGGAGATGACAAAACGAGGCACAAATAAGCAGGACACTGAATCGTTAGTAAACCTTGGGCAGATTAGTTTTAAGTCATGAGAAAGACAAGAGACATGCAGGGAAAAACCAAAAAGAAAAAAGGAGCCGGTTTCTAAACAGAAAAGGAGATAGAAATGGGGGGAGGGCGTGTCTCCCCCGTGCATCCCACCCTGAAAGGAGACTTCTGTTGTGCAAAGTTGTCCTTGCTGGACAAAAGCTGTGTCTATTGACTCGGAAGTGACTTCCCGGGGGATGCCAGTGAACGGAGGACATCTTAACTCTTCTACAGACTGGGTGGGTGGGTGGGTGGGTGGGGACTGAGGAGATTTCAGAGGGATGCAAGGGCATCCCGTACCGGTCGCGTCTCCTCCCAAAAGACCCTCGAGAGGAATTCGAAAGACATTCTCGAGCCAGGTTGAAAGCGGAAAAACGAGGTGCCTGTCAGAAACCCGACGGCCGGATTCGAGCCGCGGGAAAGTTGGAAGACGATGTGCGCTTTGCTCAGGTACTTCGGTCCGGAGATGGAAGACTGACACGGGGATGGAGGGGGCGGGTGGGGAAATTACAGCTGCTCCTTAATCTGGATGGAAATCGGCCTTGCTGGCGAGGACCGGAGGGGTGGGGGGCAGAGCGGGGTGGGGGGGAGGTCTCGGGGATCTCAATGCTTTGGGGTCCGCAGGGAAATGTGGCGAGCCTCGCTACAAAACTCAGGATCGAACCTACCTGGTTTTTGGCCTGCCTGAACAGAGTTTGTTTTAGTGCCTCCGAATCTAAGGTGGAATTATAGACAGCTTTAACGTCAAAAGCTTCCTCGGAGGCCTGGTGGAGGTCCAGCCCCTTCCCAAATTCCGACATCTGTTCCAAATCTAACAAGCCGGCTTCGTTCTCCTCAGTACACCTGTACCAAGCACCAGGGAGGGAGGGGAGGGAAGGGAGGGAGGGAAAGCAGGGGCGACCTGTTAGTTCCATCCGGCTGCAACACACTCGGGGAGCGGGTTGTGCAGATGCCAGGAAGGGGAGGGGACTCCGTGGAGCCGCATGCGAGACGAGGGAGGGCGAGCGACACAGACAGACAGACAGGCAGGCAGGCAGGCAGATGGACGGACAACGGGCAGACAGACACAGCCATAATAGTACAAGATCGCTGAGCACGGAGCAGACGTTGGGTGTAGCGGCGTGACACGCCGTACACGCCCCTCCCCGACTTCGAGCGATTCTCCGTGTCGTGGATATTCCCCGCCCCCCCCCCCGATCGGGCCTTGTCGCTCGCTCAAACTGCCATGATCCTAGAGATCTGAGGACCATGGGTCATGCATTTCTGTGGACCATGGGAACATCTTGGAGTTGATCAGCAGCTGAAACAATCTGGCGAGCTCTTTTCTCGTGAATTTCTGGAGTTTGACGTTCTAGCTGGTCCCAAATCACTCATTCATGGGGGCGTGGAATGAGAAGAGAAAAGCGAGGGTCCCCTCCCTCCCACCGAGAGAGTGGAAACCCACCTCTGGGCCCGGTTAAAGCTCATGGTGAGGGACGCGGCCTCATCTTCCTCCTCCTCCTCATACCCTCCTTGTGGCTCGGCAGTGGGCGACACCGTCTCATCTTGAGACTTCCCCGTCAGGCTGTCATCGTCTTCCTCTTCCAGTTCATCCTCTTCCTCATCGATGTCTTCTACTTTGTCGTTTGGAAGACCGTGGGTGGCGCCGTCGGCGTTCTGGATTTCGGGCCTGGTTGAGAGAGAGAGAGCACAAAGGTTAAAGACAAGGGTCGACAAAGCCTTCTGAAGGCCATGGAGGAGATAACCAGGCTGAGGCCGAGGGAAGGAGGTGTCAAAGGCGTCATAAGTCAAATGAGTCCCTGCGCAGCCACAAGAAGTCTAAGTCCAGCCAACTTTTGAATGCCTTTCTTATCTCCCGCTCATTTCCCTTTGATTGTTAGTTGGCCAGATTCTCCTAGAGAGCTTAAACTTGCAATAAATCTTTATGCTCCTTTGAACTGCCTGAATCTCCTAAGTTCTGCAGCTTGAAAGGACACCTGTTGTTGCCTTGAAGGCAACGGGATCCGTGTGAGATCCAACAGAGATGTTCCTTGGGGACTGAAGGAAAATGGACCCGTCGTTAGACTTTCTCTTTGGGAGAGAATTAGAAAAGTCAGAGGTAGAGAGAACTGTACACTAGTGATGGGCTTCTGCTGGTTCGAACTGGTTCTAGCGAAGCACACGCTCACAGAACCGGCTGTTAAACCGGTGGCAGTCCACCCCTGCTGTACATCCTCAACTTACAACCACAATTATGCCTGACATTTATGTTGCTAAGCGAGAAGTTGGTTAAGTGAGTTCTGCCCCATTTTTCGACGCTTGTGGAAAGAGTCAAATCCACCAGGAACCCTGATCGCCCACTGAGGTTAAAGAGAGAAGCGACACCTTTCTGGGTGATCTTGCGTACCTTTTCTCTGCTAAAGCCGTCGATTGGCTCATCTCGCTATTGGCAATAAAGTTTCTGATTTCAGAGAAGTAGGCGTCCTCTTTCTCGTCTAAAAGTGCTTGGTGTTCTGATTCGGAAGTGGGCGAAGATGCGTTGTTCCCCAAGTGGTTTGTAATGACTCCGGCATGCTGGCTTACTGGAAGAGGAGAGGGAGGAAGAGGAGGAGGAGGAAAAGAAGGAGGAGGAGGAAGGAGAGGAGGAGGAAGAAGAGGAGGAGGGAGAAGGAGAAGCAGGAGGGGAGGAGGAAGAGGAGGGGGAGAATGGGGAAGAGGAGGAAAAAGAAGAGGAGGAGGAAGTAGAAGAAGAAAAGGAGGAAGAGGGGAGGAGGAGGAAGAGGAGAATGGGGAAAATGCAGAGGAAGAAGAAGAGAAGGAGGAGGAGGAGGAGAAGGAAGAGGAAGAAGAAGTAGTAGAGGAGGAGGAGGAGAAGCAGGAAGAAGAAGGAGGAGGAGGAGGAAGAGATGGAGGAAAAGGGGAAGAAGGCGGAGGAAGAAGAAGAGAAGGAAGAGGAGGAGGTTAAAAACTGAAGATGGACATGGACATTTTGATGCATGATGGGACCATGGGAGAAGATAAGCCTTCATCCTCCTTGGTGTTGATTAGACCAGAAATTGAGCAGAACCACCAAGGACAGGAGAAGTCAAAAATTTGCTTGACTTGTCCAGGATGATATGAAGACCGGGCGGGGGGGGGGGAGCCGGACGTTGCTTCCTGCAAAGGTTTCGTCACCTTTGCCTGTCCTTTATCCCTTAATGGGAGGGGCAATCACCTCCAAGCCTTACTCCTGAGTTGCCCCTTTTGTTTCAGCTGCTCTCGTCTTCTAGCAGCTCTGTGCATACGCACACTGGGAACAGGCTCCCTTGGATCCTCGGCCTTGCTGCTGCCAGACTCTGAAGGCCTCCGAAGGCAACACCCCACTCCCAGGTGGTCCTGGCCCCATCCCTGCATTGAATGAGTCCTCCCCAGACTCTCGGACTGGTCCCCGTTCTTCCTCACTGTCTGAGCCCACCGCCATCTACACAGGCTGCCAGCAAACCACAACAAAACCAGAGCGGCAAGCAACATTCTTATTGGAGAAGGGGCGGGATGGGGACAGCGCAGACGCCGAGCTGAAAGATTCAGCTTACCTGGGACGTTTTCGTGCTCGTGTTTTTTCAAGTGTCGGTCCAGGTTGGTCTGCTGGCCGAAGCATCGATTGCAGAGGTGACATTTGAAGGGTTTCTCCTTGTTGTGGATGTTCCGGACGTGGCGCTGGAGGTTGGATGAGATGCTGAACGAGCGGTCGCAATATTTACACCTGGAAGCGGGGAAGAAAGGGGAGAAGGAGAGAGAGAGAGAGAGAGAGAGAGAGAAGGGGGAAACACGTTGGGGTCAAATCTCCTTTCTTGCCACCCTATTCAATGCCACCCTGTTTAAAAGGCCCTCCAAGACAATGGTGGGTTTCCAATTTTTTTTTCCCTACCGGTTCTATCGTGCGTGCGCAGTACTTGAAACCCGCCGTCTGTGTGAACAGTGAGTTAGTGAGCTAGTGAGGTGAGCTATCTTTTTTTTAGCTCAGCTGAGGCACGGCAAATCAGCTGAGCTAAAAAACAAGGGGATATAAGAGAGGTAAGGGTGGGTGGGCGGGGCCAGCCAGAGGTGGCATTTGCCGGTTCTCCGGACTAGTCAAAGTTTCCGCTACCAGTGTGCCAGAACAGGCCGGACCGGCTGAATCCCACCTCTGCTCCAGGGGCAGGTGGGAAGGGGAGGATTTAAGGAAAACTTAAGGGCTGCAGTTCCTCTGAGCTTGCTCAAGAGGGCCCCGTTGAGATGCGTAAAGGGGGAATTTTAAAATTGCAGGAAGACACCAGACTCAAAGTCTAGCGGGTGAAGAAAAGGCAGTCAAATCCAGCCGAATTTTGCTCTTTTTTCTTGTTCTTCTTCCCTCTCCTTGGTGTTTTTTTTTTCCTTTCTTTTCCTTCCATTTTTCTTCTTTCTTATTCTTCCTTCCTTCCCTCTCTTCCCTTTTTTCATTCCTCCCTCTGTCCCTTTCCTTTGTTTCAGTCTTCTTTTTTTCTTTTTCTCTTCTGCATTCCCTTCCTCCTTCTTCCTTTTTCCTCATTTTCTTTCCCCTTCCTCCCCCTTTCCCCCTTTTTGTTATTCTTCCTTCCCTCTTCCCTCCCTCTTTCCCTTTCCTTTCTTTCAGTTTTCCTTCTTTCTTTTTTTCTGCATTCCCTTCATCCTTCTTCCTCCTCCTTTTCTTTCCCTTTCCCCTTTTCTTGTTTATTCTTCCTTCCTTCACTCTCTTCCCTCCCTCTCTCTTTCCCTTCTTCCTTCTTCTTCCTTTTTCCTCCTTCCTTTCTTTCCCCTCCCTTCCCTTTTTATCTTTTTTTATTCTTCCTTCCCTCTTTTCTTCCTCCCTCCCTCTCTACCTATCCTTTCTTTCCCTCCTCTCTGTCTGTCTGTCTGTCTGTCTGTCTGTGTCTCTCTCTCTGTCGGGGTGTTACATTATGCAGACCGCGCATACTTTCCAAATGTGCAACAGTTAGAAACACAGCAGCCCTCCCAAAAATATCTTTATTATTTTTGGAGCCAGCAGAGACACCTTTCTGAAATTCTCTTCCTAAAGGTTTTTTTTGGGGGGGGGGGGGGGGGGGGGAGAGTTTGTGTAGAATGAGCTCATAATCTGAGAAACGAGAAAGGGTCACTGTGCCAAATATTACCTCTTTTTAAAAGAATATTGCCCATCGCTTAAGGTGGCCCCATAAACCCTCCCCAAATTTTCTTCTCCCTTCTCCTCCCGCGTGTCTTTTGTTCTCTAACAATAGTCGTTTTTTCTTCTTTTGCATACAAAAACAGCTCCAGAGAATTGGGTTAAAGATAGATTCAGAAATCCTATCTTGGTTTTAATCGACGGTCGAGGCGAACAGATAATCAAATTTAAAAAGCTAACTGTGAGTTATTCTTATTTATTTTTTTCCTGTCTCTGTGCGAAGCTGTTGCATCCGCCTTAGTTTGGGTTGTGCAAATCAAGAATTAGATTTTAATTTTACCCAGCGATACGTACAAGCCATTTCTATAACAATAAGCCTGTCTAATTTACAAAAAAACAGAATCGAAGTTTCATTATTATTTTTTTCCCTCCCCCTCATTGCAAACACATAATCCGGAAGCCGTTTCGAAGCAGAATGAAATGTAATCCTGCTGCGTAAAAGCAAAAAAAGTTGTTGTAATGTTGTGACTTTTGATTGTGCTGAAGAGAGTCGGAATTGGTGGTTTTTTTTCTCTTTTTTTCTCCCCTCCTATTACACAACACCCCCGTCTTTCCCTCTTCCACTCTTCTTACTTTTCCATGGTTTTTGTATTTTATACTCCGATAAACTAATAAAAAAAAGTTTTAATTGAAAAGAATTAGATTTGAAATGCAGGTGTCCCGACTGAAAATTAAACCGGTTGTTACGCCCTGGTGTTAAGAAATGCAGTTGTTGTTGTGGGTTATATTCCTTATTATTTGGAACCCAAGGGAGGTGAGGATGGCACCATCCCAGGATGGATGTTGGTGCAAACATTTGCACTGGGAAGGGAAAAAATTAAAAGTGCCAGCTTCATTCAGCCAAGCCTGAAACCTGGATTTTGCTGTGCGATTCCCGCTGTGGAATTGAGGAATTATTTCCAGCGATTCCCTCCTCTAAAAGCCTCTAAAGCACCGGTTCTGGGTACAAATCTTATTAATACTCCATCCTTCTGGTTATAAAACGCGACAAATGTGTCTTTATTTATTTTTTACTCACCGGTAAGGCTGTTCCCCTGTGTGTGTTCGGAGGTGTCTGGTTAGATTGGCTGAACGCGGAAAGATTTTACCACAGTATCTAGAAGGCCAATAATAATAATAATAATAATAATAATAATAATAATAATAACAATAATAATAATAATAATAATAATAATAATAACAACAACAACAATAATAATAATATTCTCTTATTAATTTATTCTGTGATTATTCTCTTTTACTAGTTTTTATTGTTTTATATTTTTCCTTTCCTTCTTTTCCATTTCTTTCTCCTTCCTCTCTCACTCCTTCTTTTTCCTTCCTTCCTTCTTTCCCTCTATCGCCCTTCCTTTCCATCCTTCCTTCCTTCCCCTATCTCCTTCCCTCTCCCATTTCCTTCCTTCCTTCCTTCTCTTTCTCTCTCCTTTCCCCTTCCTTTCCTTCAGTCTTCTCTCTCCTACCTTCCCACCTCTTCTTTCCTTCATTCTTATTTTCCCTTTCCTTCCTTTCCATTTCTTACTCCTCCTTCCCTCCCTCTCTTTTTTTACCTGCAGGTATAACGTTCTTTGCCCTTGCGCAAAATGGGATCCGATAAGGTGGGAGGGGGCGACCGGAAGTTGAACGGGTGGTGAGGGAGGGGGGGCAAGGAAGTCCCCCCGGCGTCTGTCTTCATGGCTGCGAATGTCTCCAATTTCTCCGTCATGGTTTCTATGGCTGACATCTAAAAGGGGAAGAGAAAAGCCAAGTTTCACAAGGCTACATTTTGGGGCAGATGCTTGGGAATTTTGGGGATTGAAGCGGATCACAAGCAGTTTCCTACTGTGTTTTCCCAAAAATAAGACCCTGTCTTTTATATATATATATATATTTGCCACCCAAAAAAGACACCAGGTCTTATTTTCGGGGGATGTTCTGCCACTGACTAACCTCACTTGAACGCTTCACCCCCGGCCTCCTTTTCACTGTCAGAGGCCTTCAGGAACTTCTTCTGCAGCCAGCAAGGCCTCTAGAGCAGATAACAGAGCTCTGGATCGATCCAGAGCTTTGTCCCCAGCTCCAGAGGCCTTCAGGAAAGCCTTGCCAGCCTTGCTGGCTGCAGAAGAAATTGGTTGGCAAGGCAGGTGTCGGGATGTGCGAGGCCTGGCTACAACTGTCCAAAGGAAAGCAGTAGGGCAACTCCACACTCTAGCTTAATTTTTACCCGTGCACTCTGGGAGAAGGAAGATGGAGGAGGAAGAGGAGAAGGAGGAGGAGGAGGAGAGAAGGAAGATGAAGAAGGAGGGGAGGAGGAGGATGGGAAGGCAAAGCAGGAAAGGAAGAAGGAGAAGGAGAAGGAGGAGGAGGAGGAGGAGGAGGAGGAGGAGAAGAAGAAGAAATTAAAAAGGAGGAGGAGGGAAAGGGAAAGAGGAGGAGGAGGAGGAGAGAAGGAACATGGAGGAGCAGGAGGATGGGAAGGGGAAGGAGGAGAAGGAGAAGAAGAAAAGGAAGGGAGGAGGAGGAGGAGGAAGGAAGGAAAGAAGAAGAGAAGGTGGAAGAGAAGGTGGAAGAGGAGAAGGATGGGAAGAAGAAGAAGATGAAGGAGGAGAAGAAGAGGAGGAGGAAGAGGAGGAGGTAACAAGGATGCTATTATGGGCTCTCCCATAACAGCCAGTTCTCCCTGTCAACCTGGGGTGTGTGGGGGGGTCATTTTTATCTCCCTCCCCCCCACAGCCCGAGCTCGGCCGTGGCTATCTCGCTCTGCAGCCGTGGGCAATTACCAGCTGTGCCGTCTGAGCCATTCTCCCCTATTCTGACCCACACAAACACAGGATCTTCCTGGCGGGCTTGATCTCATGGCTGGGCCCATTGAAAAGGAAAATGGAGGGAAGTTATTAAGCAAACTTTCCAGCCCAAGGAAAACAATGAAGCCCCTAAGTTTAGCCTTGAAAACAGCCGTTCCCAAAAGAGTCAGAACCGCTACTCTTAAAAATACAAAAAAATAAAACTGACAAATGGGACTCGGGCCAGCGAGGAAACAATGAGAGCTTCCCGAGAATCGAAACCCTCCAAATTCAGCTGAGATGGACGCCAAAGATTTGAACCCGGTTTCTGGTCTAAAACGGACACTCTGGAGGTGGTGTCACCAGTGAAAGTTACTCTGGCAGGGAATCCAGGTTTGTTTGTTTTGGCCTGAGGGAGGAAGTGTGTCTACCCCTTGTTCCATTCTCTGGAAAGTGACAGGTTTCCTTCGGGCCTGATATCATTTCCCTCTTCCTGGCTTTCTTTCGGAAAAAGAGGCGGGGGCTGCAGGCTTTGGGTTTCTTGCTTGAGGTTCTCCTGCAAGGCCAAGATCTCCTGAAGGGATCTTGGGAGACCCGCCTGGAATTGTCACCTGCAGTCGAGAGGTCCACCTGGTCCCAATTCCTCCATGCCAGCCACCCGGGGTCAAAGGCTTCTCCCTGGTCTCCCGAATCTGGCGTTCCTCTTTCTTCACCGGGATGTTCTTCCATGTTTCCACTCCCAACATTCTCCACTCCCCCAAAGTCATCACCTCCTCAATTTCCTGACTGGAGCCAGCGAGGGAGAAGGAGCCTTGGGGCGAACTCAATGGTGGGGCTGTGACGTGGTTAACAAAGCCATGGCTTGGCACACAGCAGGCCAACTCGTTGTTGTGTCTGAGCTGATTTGGCCAAAGACCGAGACGGTTGAAGGCTAAGGTATGTTCCTCCTGGTGTAGAACATTTCACGGTAGATCAAAGTCTCCGGAACTTTGGAGAGCAACGTGTTGCATGCGGAACTCTCCGAGGTGCTGAAAACCGGTTTCTTCTGATAAGACGATCTGGTTGCCAGCATGACTCTACTCAACTCTGAGCAGATGCCAACCTTCTTAGGTAGACCAGACAAGAGGCAGACAGATCCTACTCTATTGTGAGGCCATGTTAAATAACCTTGCAAGACCGAACGTGTGTCTCTTTTTACAGCTTAGGGAGAAAGCTTTCTTTCTCCGTCCGTTATGCAGCGGTGGGCTCCCCGTTCCCTTCTCTGATTGTTCCCTGGCGGCCATCTCTTTCCCCCCTTTCCCAAGGGCCATTACATCAGAAGAGCAAGCTTCTGCTCACACGCAACCACTTTTGATCAAATTTTGGTGGCTGCCTTCGGACAACTGGTTTAGTTTGATTAACTTTGAGGAAGAAACTTAAGGACTTGGGTGGATCTTTACCCAGAGGTGGGTCTTCAGCAGGTTCTGACCAGTTCTGGAGAACCGGGAGCGGAAATTTTGAGTCATTCAGAGAACCGGCCAATCCCACCTCCGACTGGCCCCGCCAACCCCATCTCTTCTCTGTCTCCCATTGAGTCCCAGATGATCGGCTGGGTCTCCTTGGGTTGCCCTGCACAGGAGAACGGAGCTGGAAAGCAGGTTAGTGGGGTGGGGAAGGAAGGGAGATTTTGCGGTATCCTTCCCCTGCCACGCCCACCAAGCCACGTCCACAGAACCGGTAGTAAAAAAAAATGGAATCCCACCACTGATTTCATCCATCAGTGGTTGAAAACACTGTCTAGTTTGTGCACAATTAAGGTTGTTATGGAACACTGGCCACCCCTTGTTTCTGGGCCTTACCTGAGGATGGAAAAGTAGTGGTGAAGGCCTGAGATATTTCTCCTTTAGTGCCCCAACTGAGTCAGCCACCTTCCGTTTCTCCACCCTGCTGGACAACAAGACAGAGGGTTACATACCTCACAGAAGAAAACGGATAGTCTCCTTTGTATGGTTTTGAAAAGGAGGGAAATCCAGTCTAATTATTATATTTCCTTTGAGGAAAACACATTCAAGGGTTGTTGGGTTGGGTTTTTTTTTTTTGAGCTTATTAACCCAGATAAGGAACAGCCTACGCACAAATCGGACCTTCTCGGCTCAACTGGATTGATAACTTAGTCCGACTTCCTTCAACTAGGTTACGTTCCGGAGAAAGAGAGGACTTCAGCCACAATGAGAAATTGGAAGGCCCTAAGAAGAATGGGTGGCATCTGGGCTAGGTTCAATTTTCAGGGATAGCGCGTAGCTCCCGCGTCTTCGGGAGTTTGTGTTCTTTCAGTTGAGGAAGAGACAGATAAGAGCAAAGGGATAGGTTGGCATGCAATTTTGGACCTCCCAGGGGCCCTACAATTCCTATCACACATCTCGGTCAGGGATGGTGTGTAAGTGGGTTGCAATGACTCCCGATGACCTGCGTGTATTGTGACAGGCTGAGTCCACCTTCTGCCCAGGAGCTAAGCTCCATACAAAAAAATGCTTGAAATTTAAAAATAATAATATGCGTCCGTGGGCCGGGCCCTCCCTCGTCTGGCCACTCCTAGCCAGCGTCTCTGCCCTCCGTCCTTCAAGGCCTTTCCCACACACCCACACACCGCCACCACCATCAAGGCTGAGAATGTTAATACCTGTAGATGGGGTCCATGAAGAAAGGCGAGGGCTTGGCGTAATGCAGGGAAGGCTGAGGGAGCATCTGAGCTTGGTTCATCTTGGGCACCCCGTCGCCGGCCACCACCAGCTTCCTCTCGCCGTAGACGTGGTTCTTCCGGGGATCTCGGCTCCCGTGATGACTGGCCCGGATGCGGCTGCTAATCGTGAGGTCCAGCGGCTGCTCCTCGCTGGCGTGACGAGCGGGCAGGACCTGAGCCGCCGCTTTGCTTTCTTTCGGCTTGGTGGTGAGGTCGAAGGGTGACTCCGAACAGGGGCCGCCGATTTTGTGCAGGTCCCGGGGCGACTTTGGTTCGGCTTTGACCAGCAAACTGTGGTTGAGGCTCCGCTCGGCAAACGGGTAAACCGAGTGGGAGAAGTTGGGGAGGAACTGGAAGGGGAACATGGAATGGTAGGGAAGGGCCCCCATTTTTTTCTCCTGCATGCCCATAAACCCGGGACCGAAGTACTTCTCGGCAATGGAAGCGATGGCCTTGATGGAATCGTTCGTGGCCCCCATCATCGGCAGCAGCTGATCCTCGGGCGGAGGGAAGAAGCTGTGCTGGGAGTAGAAGATGGGGAGGTCACTCGTGCTGTTGGCGGAGCCAGCGGGGACCGAACCGCCGCCGAAATCTGGCTTGCTCTCCCGGGCTTTGCTTTTCTCCTTCGTTTTCTCTCGCTCGCTCTCTGCGTCGCTCTCTAAGTCTGACCCGGTACCGGTGGTGGTCTCCAGATCGGTGCCCGTCGTGGTGTTGATGTCCTCAAAGTCACTGGCGTCCGACAGATCACTAGTCCTGGCTTTGAGCTTCTCCAAGTAGGAGTTCCCCAAAGGGGTGCTGTTGAACCTCTCCTCCACGGGGAGCGGGTGGCTGCTGTTGCCCACGGCGGACATCAGCGGGAGCGGAGAGTGGCCCAGGGGGCTGGGGAGCTTGGCCTCTTGGGTGTGGTTGAGGGGGCTCTTGAGCAAGGGGGTGGGGGGCAAGAGAGGAGGCCTGGGGTACAGCGAGGGAGGGAAGATCCCCGGGAAGCTGGGGGCGAGAGCTGGGAACGCAGGGGGAGCGGGCGAGAACGGAATTGCTCCCGGGTGCGGCCGGGAGGGGAAGTAGTCGCCGAAGCCGAGTCCGGTATGATTGAGGTTGGCCGACACCTTCGACTTGTCCATCAAGGAGCTGGGCGTCAGAGGCAAACCGGGCGCGAAAAGCCCGCTGGGGTTGTAGTGGTTCTTGCCTTCGCAGAACCGCCGGTGTTTGTTGAGCGAAGAGGTGGTGCTGAACATCTGCCCGCAGTCCTTGCACTTGATCTGAGTCCGGCAGTCGGCGTGCATGCGCTTGTGTCGGCAGAGGTTGGAGAACTGTGTGTAGGATTTGTGGCAGACCTCGCCTAAAGCATCAACAGAAACCAAAAGACCAAAACCCAGTATGAAATTAATATGAAAGAACGGGGCTGGGTGCGAGAGAAAGCGGGTGCTCTCGGTATTTTAAAGGCGGGGAGGCGGGGAAGAGGGCGGGTGTGAAAAAAAGAAAGAAAGAAGAAGAGAGCAAGTGGGAACCGTTTTTAAACCGACGGGAACCAAATGGAGACGTGGACAACGTGACAACGCAAAACAAAAAAGTATGTGGGATTTAGTTGAAAGGTGTGTGGGAAGTCCTTGACTTATGACCACAACTGAGCCTCCAAATTTTGTGTTGCTAAGTGAGGTGTTTGTTTGCTGAGTTTTCCCACATGTTACGATCTTTCCTGCCACGGTTGTTAAGCGAAACACTGCAGTTATTGATTGACATGGTCGTTAAGTGGCTTCGGCATCAATTTGGCTTGTTGAAAGGTCGCAAAAGGGGGATCAGCCCTGAAGCTGGCCAGACTGAGGCCAATTTCAAGACTTGATACACCAGAGAAGAGGGACAGGGAGAGAGGGGGGAATAGTTGGGGTTTGTGGTCAAAACAAAATGCTTTCTCTTGGGAACCAAGGTCATTCCTGCAAGTGCTTGGAAGGAGGGGTCTGGCGTCACCTGGCAACTGGGCAGTATCCTGATTGGACCATATGGCTGTTTGTTTGAGAAAGTGAAAAAAACCACGCTTACTTTTTAATGAGGTGAAAACCGCAGGAATAATCAGAGTCGGTTTTCACCAGCCTGTGCCAATATGATATAGCCAATAAATTTATTTTTTGGAGGAATTTACCTGCCTCAGAGTTTTGTTTGCTATGGGTATGTTACTCAGAACCCTGACAAGGGGACCGGGACACCGCGACACTCCTAAGTACATGCCAGTGGCCAAGTGTTTGAATTTTGACCGTGTGTTCGTGGGGATGGGGCAAAGGTCGTAACTGCGAGAAACGCTTATAAGTTACAAAGTTGTTGTCCATTTGAACAGGTCGCTAAATTAATGGTTGTTAGTTGAGGACTACCTGTGTACAGATCTCGAGCCTCTCTGACTCCCCTCCCTTCCATTCAACCATTACCCCACGGGAAAGCGGGGCAGCCAATCAATTTGATGGGCGAACAAACAAACAGAGAGACAAACAAGGGGATTTTTGGGGCGCAAGGCAGTGGCTGAGGCAACTTACATATGAAAGGTTTCACAGTGCTGTGGATGTGCTTGTGCTGTTTGAGGCCAGAAGAAGTGGCGAAGGTCTTTCCGCAGTCCGGACAAGCGTGCGCCCGGGCACCGACGTGCTGGGAGCGAATGTGCCTTTGGAGGTTGCTGGGGTCCGTGAAAACCTGAGCAGAAGGCAAAATCAACACCTCCTGAGCTTCCAAAATTAAGACAACACGGTGTTTTTCCTCACAGGGGATTTGGTGTGCGTTTGTGTTGCTTTGATTTGCACAGTCGTTCGGTCGTTTCGGACTATCTTGGCATGATGCTCATCTCCGTCTCTTAACCGAGGGATCCGGCAGTGTCCAAAGACAATTTCCGTGGACGTGTGGCTGGCATGGCTATATGCCGAATGGGCAGGGAATCAATCAATCAGAACAGAGCTGGAAGGGCCGTGGAGGTCTTCTAGTCCAACCCCCTGCTCAAGCAGGAGAACTGGTACCATTTCAGACCAGTGACTGTCCAGTCTCTTCTTAAAAACCTTCAGCACCCACAACTTCTGAAGGAAAGCTGCTCCACTGGTTAATTGTCCTCACTGTTATGAAGTTTCTCCTTAATTCCCACCGAAATGGTACCTATTGATCTACTCGCATTTGCATGCTTTCTGACTTTAATATGTAACGGTGCATGATCCTAAACCCAGAGACAGAAAGAAAGAGAGACAGAGAGAAAGAGAGGGAGAGAGAAAGAGAGGGAGAGAAAGGCAGAGACACAGAGACAGAGAGAGAGAAAGAGAAAGACACACAGAGAAAGAGAAAGAGAAAGAGAGAGAAAGACAGAGAGAAAGACAGAGAGAAAGACAGAGAAAGAGAGACACACAAAGAGAGACAGAAAGAGAGAAAGAGAGAGAAGGAGGAGGAGGAGGAGGAGGAGGAGGAGGAGGAGGAGGAGGAGGAG